CGACACACCCCTCCCTCACGACACTCCCTCCCTCACGACACACCCTCCCTCACGACACACCCTCACGACGCACCTGTGCGCCACGACACACGGCCCCCTGAAAGGGTTGCGTGCCACGACGCACCTGTGCGCCACGACGCACCCTCACGACGCACCTGTGTGCCACGACACACCCTTCCCTCACGACGCACCTGTGTGCCACGACACACGGCCCCCTGAAGGGGTTATGTGCCTGCCAGAGGTCGTGCAGTGGCAGGGCAGCAGCAGCAGCGGCGAAGGCGTCGTGGGCAGCAGGGTAGTGGTGCGCCAGCGCTGCAGATGTAGACGCTGCGTCCCACATGAGCGACGCAGCTGTAGGGCCTGCAGCTGCAGCGTTATACATGCTGCTGCTGCCCCCGCTCCCGTACCGAACCTCGTAGCCAAGCTCTGCAATGAAAGCTTGGCCTTATTGCAATAGCCAAGCAATAGCCTTATTGTAGCCAAGCTCTGCAATGAAAGCTTGGTCTTATCATAAAGAGTGATAATGAATTGTATTGCAAACTGTTCACAACGATATTACTTTTGTGACCTATAACCATAAACGATACGATACGATATAACCATGTGACCTACACCATAAATTGAAAACTGTGTGTCAAATATATATAAAAGGCTTTATTGAATACAGCTTTTAATTAAATTTAACGTTATTATTTTTATGGTAAAAAAATGTGGTTAGGGAAAACTACTATATAGATTAGGTTAATTAAATGTTGTTATTTATAACCGTGGATTTGTTTTTGACTAATGGCCGAGCGTAAACCTGAAGGTACAAGATTGATATGCGGTTTATATTAGGCGGGGGCAATTACAGTGAATATGTGAATAAAGTTTAGTTTTTGTTTTACTCGATTAAAAACACTTTTTATGTGTGTAACAATTCAAAGTAGTATTACATTGTAAAATAGAGTGAAGACTCGTCAGACGGAGGGCTATTGTTGCACGTTTGGCTTACGTTAATAGTCCAGTCGTAGTTCATGGGCCTACGATCAGAAGTCGGAGTTCGTAGGTCCAGTTTCACAAGTCGGAGTTCATAGGTCCAGTTTCACAAGTCGGAGTTCATAGGTCCAGTTTCACAAGTCGGAGTTCATTGGTCCAGTTTCACAAGTCGGAGTTCAAAGTCCCAGTTTCACAAGTCGCAGTTCATAGGTCCAGGTTTCACAAGTCGGAGTTCAAAGATGTGTATAAGAGACAGACTTCAAATTGTAATGCAGATCCATTAAAAAATCAAGCAGTCTCAGATATTAACCCATACAAGTTGTCAAAGCATTGAAATTTCATGCTTCTGATCTCAAGAATATTGATTTAAACNGTTCATAGGTCCAGTTTCACAAGTCGGAGTTCATAGGTCCAGTTTCACAAGTCGGAGTTCATAGGTCCAGGTTATCAAGTTGGAGTTCAAAGGTCCAGGTTAACAAATTAGAGTTCAAAGATCCAGGTTTCACAAGTCGGAGTTCAAAGTCCCAGGTTCACAATGTTGAGTTCATAAGCTAGTCCAAGTTCACAAGTCAGAGTTCAAAGGCCCAGGTTCACAATTTTGAGTTCATAAGCGGAGTTCAAAGGCCCTGCTATACAAGTCAGAGTTCAAAGGCCCAGGTTCACAATGTTGAGTTCATAAGCTAGTCCAAGTTCACAAGTCAGAGTTCAGAGGCCCTGGTNCGCCCCCTGCTGTTAAGCTCACTCTGTTCGCTCTACACTCTATATCAAACGTTTTGATAATTCGATAATCAAAACCGATATCTATGGTAATTTCCTACTGAAGGTAACAAGTGCCTTCCAACGATGCTTACAGGTTGCGGTGCAAATCCGACAAGTTCAGCAATATACCAAACGTGGAACTTATATTGTTCATACTTGTATTTTTTATTAATTAAATTGAAAATTTAGCTGCAGTCTAAGAGTTATTGGGCATTTATTATTAGTTTTCAGGCAATATCGCTCTCATTAGTATAGGATTGTTAAGCGCGTTGTCAAGACCATGCATATTAACCATAGATCTCGCCATCGCATTTTAATCTATGATTTTTCTATGTTCTTATATTTTCGAGTAGGTTTTTATGTAAATTGGATCTTATGGGCACAAAAAACATTCAATGCTTCTCATCAAACTAGTTTTGTTCACGAATGAATGAAATTTAATTAATTTATTGAATACATAGTAAAAATTTGACTTAACAGTGCCAACGCTGACCTTGTTTATACTAAAGGAACTAAAAGAAAAAGAAAATAAATAAATGAAGCATATCCTGTGCGAAAAGTGCTAAGTAGGATGAATTGTAACCTCTAATACTCAGATGAATTTTGATCCTCTAAAACTCAGACTCTAATACTAATTTAATTATTGGAGTATATTGACCGGTAAAAAAATATACACGTACCTGTGGACGTGATGTCCCAGAGTGCGTGAGGGTCGTGGTGACCCCCAGCGTATGAGGGTAAGGCTCGCCCCCCATTCCAATTTCACTTTCCTGCTTTAAATTTCACTTTTCTACTTCAAATTTCACTTTTCTACTTCAAATTTCACTTCCTGCTTCAAATTTCACTTTCCTGTTTCCAATTTCACTTCCCTGCTTCAAATTTCACTACTTTGCTTCAAACTTTACTTTCTGCTTAAAACTTTACTTTCCGCTTCAAATTTAACTTTCTGTTTCAAACTTTGCTTTCTGCTTCAAACTTCACTACCATGCTCGAGATTTCACTGCCTTGCTTCAGATTTTAATTTTCTGCTTCAGCTCTCTCTTCCCTGCTTTAAATTTCACTTCCCTGCTTCAGCCCTCACTTCCCTGCTCCAAATTTCACCAGCATGCTTTAAATTTCACGTCCTTGCTTCAGCTGGGCGTCATTTTATTTCCGTTGTAACGTCCCTGTTACACGTCACTTCCTTGTGGAGGCGTTACGTCGTTGCAGCACGTGTAACGTAACGTCTTTTCTTACGGCGTGACGCCACGAAATTAATTGCTCACAAAATGCCTGACTTTCATGATGACGTCTGGTGCATCATAACGTACGGTGCATTATGTCGTATGGTGCATTATGTCGTATGGTGCATCATATCGTATGGTGCATTATTTCGTATGATGCTTAACGTTTGTTCGCATGGAATGCCTGTAGTTGACTACAACAATTTCAGATCTAGTGTTGCATTGATTGTGGTTTTCAGTTGTTGATCTAAACTGATGATCAAATTAATGCTGTGGGGAAGGTGGTAAAAAAAGTTAGTAAATTACAATGAATTGATTAGAAACTTAAGAATAATGCGTACAGAGATGATGATGAATAGAAAAGTATGCTGATCCCAGCGTGAACGAACTGCGTCCAAGGCTCGAAGAGTTCGCTCGAACTCTGCTTTTCAAACTTCAATGTCTAAGACTAAATCTCTGTCAGAATCGCCAACGAAATAACATCATTTTATGGTATCTATACTTAAACGCGGAACGGCTTAAGAATGACAACGTTTTTGCATTCTTTTTAAGTGTGGAAGATCAGCTTGCTGGTTCTCGCGAGGGTATATATCAACGCAGTGCGAGTGCCCCATAAAATAGCGTATCCTGCTATATTGAATGATTTAACATTAACGCTCGATATCGTCATGTAGTTGGAACGCGTTACAAATTTTCATCTTTGTTTTCTATATTTAAAAAATGAACATCATTAATTTTTAATTTTAAGTTCAATGAAATTTTGGACAAGTGATTGTGATGTACCGAGTTATAGGCATGGGCATTTTTAGCATGAATAGCCATCGGCCCTGCTGAAAAAGTGCCGTGCCGACAGTCTCTAGAATTAGTCTCGTGACAATTTCATTTATTGCTACATCGAAACGATTTCATTAGATTTTGTTCTTCAATAACTACTTTATACATTTTTGTCTTCAGATGAAATGAACGTTTCAAGTATTGAAGTCAACCCGATTTGTAGTTTGTTATTACATTTATTATATTTAACGTTTGTCTCGTTTAGGACCAACAATAAAAATTAAAGGAGTGTTCAGCAAATTGCGAAAAGTAAATGAAAATTGATTTAATATTATTAATTTAATTGATTTAATATTATTAATATTAATTATTTAAGTTAATTGATTTAATCATATCACTATTCATTATGTCATATTATTTATGGTATCCGCGTGTGACATACAGTCAGTAACAACTAAGAACATATGTAAGCTTATTTTCCTTAGCTGGCTATAAGCAGAAAAAGGTTAATAACTACCTACCACTTGAATAAAATCCAACTAAACTGAAACAGGAGTTTTAGAGAAAGTGCAACGCAATTGTGAAAAAGAGTGAATAACTTTCTTATAGATACCAGGTATTTATTATCATTTTGGAGGTAATGCGATGTAATGTATAGAAAAACATATGAATTTGTACGGTTCGGCTACAATTGTAACTGTCACTTCTTCGCCTGTATAGAAAAACCTGATGTTTTAATTAGAAAATTTTTGGTTATAATAATATTTTAAAATCATGCTGAGTCGCGTCAGTCAGGCTCCTGTCTCTTANACACCAGCCCTCACGGCACCAGCCCTCACGACACCAGCCCTCACGACACCAGCCCTCACGACACCAGCCCTCACGACACCAGCCCTCACGACACCAGCCCTCACGACACCAGCCCTCACGGCACCAGCCCTCACGGCACCAGCCCTCACGGCACCAGCCCTCGCGACTCACTCCTCGCACCGCTCGCCGCTGAGCGACCCTCGGCTGTCATGGCTCCGCCCCATCTTCCCTCGTCTGAAAGAATAACTCCGGTTTATCTAAGTTGTCTAAGTAATAATAATAAAAATAATCTGCGTTATTTAAGTAATTCCGCTATCGAGTTTTTTCCCCGAATTATGGATATACAAATTCATAGCAATCTGGTGGAGTTTGATTTTCTACAGTGAAATTTAAATTTTGCCCGAAAAATTATCGGTGTATTTTGAACGAACTTTCAGACGGCTACTCGTAAAACGGAAGATCACGAGCTAACGTATATTAATTTTTTCTTTCAAACAAGCTTCATTGAAGACCAGAGAATTTGTTTTATTCGCAATAATCCTCAGGATGTACATAAAAAATATCGCAATAATATTAATTTTCATGTACATCCTAAACATCTATCTATTTTTCGAAGATTGTTTGTTTTGTGTTAATGTTTAGTGACTGGCACCACAAAAATATATAGAGGCTGTTGAGCCCGCGTATCCACGATACTTTAAATTGCGTGTGTCTGAAGGTTACATGGAACGTAAATTTCATTCTTAGTGGGAGAATATGTAAGGCTAAACTGCGAAGAAAATATTACCATAAAATTTTAAATTCGATTTTTAAATTGTTTTACAACACTTCTCTTTAACTTCACTTCTTGTTGTCTGTCTGTCTGCTACAAATCTTATAATCGATATTTAACACACTTTTAGCTGTTCAATCTATATGAAATTTTGCAGACTTGCGTAAAGTCGGAAACAATGCGCGAATCGATTGACGGAATAAATAATTTTGAAAATTTAATTTCTTTTATGTATTAAAATAATTGAAAAAATAATTTTTTCATATTCAAAATTAAAATTGAAAATTCATTGTACATGTTTTACATTGGAGACACTGTATTTTTTAGAAGTGTTGTCTTTAAAAAGTAATTTCTAAACGTATATTATTTATAAATTTATTTCGAAACGAAGGGAATTTTTTTGTATTTTGAAGCCAGAGTGAAATGAGAGTTCTATAATCAACGTAAAATGTGGGTTTGAACGGCTCTTTGTGTAATTAGCACTCGTTATATTATTTACGGGATTCGGAATCAGGGGAAATTCTAAAATTACAGTGATTGTCAATTAAGCCCGGTCTTGCAGCTTACTATATCATTTTTCTATTGAGATTAACTCGCTTAATTATTTTAATTAACTACGTTATCAAGATCGTACAAATACCTGTATTGACATTCACTAAAAGCTCCTAGATCATTTCGGATAAACTATGACAGATTTGATGGGCGTTCTGCGAATTTATTTATGCAGCGGGGAGGGCATGGCTGTGGATGAGCTGAGTTAATCTGGCGGCGGAGGTCAGAACATAACAGCGCTGCTGTCATATTAGACGGCATTAGCTGCACGTGCTGCTGCCTCTGCGCTAAATGCTGACGCTGACTGTATAGCAAGTGGCCGTGTGGTGCTGGAGTGTGTGTGTGTGGTGCTGGAGTGTGTGTGTGTGTGGTGCTGGAGTGTGTGTGTGGTGCTGGAGTGTGTATATGTGGTGCTACAGGACTGTATTTGTTGTGATGGAGTCNCCGTCAATGATTGGCTGATGAACTTACGATCTCTCAACGTTTTTTGAAAGTATGGGACCTGGAGTGTGTGTGTATAGTGCTGGAGTGTGTGTGTATAGTGCTGGAGTGCGTGTGTATAGTGTGGTGCTGGAGTTTGTGCTTTGTAGGGCTGGAGTGTGTGTACATGTGGTGCTGCAGGACTGTATTTGTAGTGATGGAGTCACGAGCATCTCAAAACGCGTGCTGGATTGATATTTTGAACATAACTAAAGTCCACATATACTAAGACTAACTTCAATCGCCAAATAAAAAATTATATTATCTTCCGATTTCCAAACGGGTTTGAAACGGATTTCTTGGTTCAAATTCTTTTGTGTAATGGATATCTTGACCAATTCTTTGAATCACATTATATCAGTTCTGAATATATTTTGATAGCAGAGAAGCCTATTTGATATCGGCAACGAGATTCGCATGCATGCACCGCAATTATATATTAAGCAATCAGCTATTAATTAGCACATTCTCGTTACCTTCTGCCATTCTCTGCCTGGTAAATAAGTGGTACGTAGCACAGTGACGCACAAAAGTATTAGATATATTACAGCTTTCTTCGTATCTCAAGTTAAAGTGCAAGATTTTACCTAATATTTGGTCAGTATGTTGCTAATGGTAATAGAAACATTACATGGAAAGTATATGCATCGTTTAGATTTTATTCAACAAAATAGAAAAATTTACCTACACATAAGTATAGGGTACATGTTCCAAAATGAATAAAAGTAATTATTTAAGGTACTCAAAATTTTATTTTCACTTAAGACGTCCCACTAATCACATTTCGTTAGCTAATTGCCAATCAGAGCAGTTTACCATCGTTTACAAAATTTTGTGTTCTGGTGAAGATATTATTCAGCTTCATTTTTAAAATTTAATTTGAAATGGCTAAACTCGAGAGTTTGTGTCAGATTTGCGTCAAAAGATCATAGATTGTCACAAGAAAGGAAAGGAGTATATCGAATAATATCCAAGGAGCCTGATCTATCATTGAGTACAGTTGGAAATATCATCAGGAAGCAATCAGCTTGATGATATCATCCAAGCACGCTGTTGCTGACCTTCCAAGACCTGGTCGTCCAAGGAAACTAACAGACGGTATAATGCAAGGTGGATTAGCAGAAACGTACAG